TTATTATTATTATTATTATTATTATCCATGAATAGAACAGAGAAGCAGTTTTCTTTCACCCAGCGGTGTAAGCCGTACACCACCATGGGGAACTCCAGGATTTTTACCCTGGCATCTGATGAAGGGATTTTAAATGGTAGGAACGGTATGTGCTGGAAGGCCTCACAGCTTCATCTTCACCTATGGCTATTTCTGACTTAGCTTTATAAATCCTGCTTGAAACTGTGTGAGAAGCTCCCATTTCTTAACCCTGACGCCAGATGAGAAAAGCCAGTCAGAATGATCAGCAGGAGGATGTATACATTAGCCTGGTGATAAACCTGTAAGAAGGCATAGCAGTGTTTCTGATTGATCCTCCTGACCTCCTAGCAACAAAATCGCTAAGACGGCAACAGGAGTTACTGTTAGCCACCCGGTGGGCAGGTCTTGTCATGGTAAAGCAGAAGGGGACATGAGCTGCGTTCTCAAAACAACAACATCATCATTTATCGCAGAGACAATTTATCTTCCAGCAAAGTTTGTCGTCATGACAGGCCTCCTACTTGTGATTAACATATTTCAGGCACACTCACTTAAAAAAAAAGAATTTACGACATTTAAGACTATAATTTTAGGTGCATAAATTTTAGGTCTTTTTAAGGATGTTGTCGGCCTGCCAGTTAATCAGTGCACACCCACCATGAGACATGACAATCTGGCACGAAACTATTTGAAAAAGACAAAAGACACTCTGAGTGGAATGGCAAAACATAACATGCTATACAGGTTAGAGGTGTAAATATGTGGTTAGCAAACTAAAATACATGAAAAATAAGGGGCAAAATAAGAATAAGGTTTTGATAGAGGTTTTTAGGAAACATGCAGCACTAAAACAAATCTTGTTCTGCATTTAACTTCAAAATTTAGCAAAACAACATTCTAAAACCAAAAAATCAGTTCATGACAGTGGAACTGGAAGCACTAACACACATGCAGACGCACTTTTAAAAAAGCTAGACATAAAACCAGACAGAGCGTTCCACACACAAGAGTAGGACAATAGGATGGAGGCCAACCTGCAGAGCCTCCGATGGAAGGATCAGCAGCCCCTGACTGGCTCGACCCTGCTGCTCAGTCGCACCAGCACACACACACACACACACACACACACACACACACACACACACACACACACAAAATAAAACACATGCACACAGAGTCACTGTAAAAAATCCACCTGCTGCAGAATGACACCGTCTTACTCGCTGTGGCAGCTAAAACGTGAAAGAGCATCAATGATGAAGACTTTAACATCAAGAAGCAGATGGAGACAGAGAAGTAGAATTAGCCGTTCATGCTGCCGACGGATGAAAACAACACCGAGCTAACAGTGGAAACATTTTAACGGTGAGAATTGGAGACGAACGTTTTTCTGCGGCGTCCCCGATGATGATCTTCCCCCCCCTCTTGCTGGTCTTCTCCACAGACAGCGCCGTGCTCAGGCCCTGCTCATGCTTGCCGAGGCCCTGGCCCTCTTTGAAGCCGTACTTCTGCATGATCTTATGGGCCACCGTACCGCTGTGGGGGAGAACACTCGTCAAACGGGGTCTTCTTGTTCTGAAGCTACCGAACTGAGAGAAAGAGGCTGGAGGACTGACCCCATGTTGGCCAGGAAGGAGCTGGTGGGGCCGGGCGGCGAGCGCGGCCGCTCTGAGTCCTCGTACATGGGAGGAGGGATGGCGGCCTTGGCACCTTTGCCGGGACGACCTTCGTCTTCGTAGGCGTATGGAGCCGGGCCTGCAGGACAGAACAGAACCACTGCTGCTGGAAACCGGGACTGGACAATACTGCCCTCTGCTGGATTCTAACTGGTTTAAAGTCTCCTTTTCCACATTTTAAAGGATTCACCATTTAAATTCTAATGCATTGATTTGATAGATTAAACTGTCTGTGTTACATTAGGGAAATGTTCAAACTCTGAAAAATGATGCCTCTTACAGGGTTCCTGACATTTTTCTAATAAAAGGTCTTCCAGAATCAGCCAAGAGCAAAAGAAAAAGAAGTAAAGAAGTAAATAAATAAAGGGTGAAAGAAAGAAAAATAAAAAGAGCCAAAGAAAAAAATACATAAAGGAACAATCCAGGTTCTTGTGTCTAAGAAGAAAGGACACAAGTAAGTAAGGAAGAGAATGAAGGATACAAGGAAAAAAGTGAGACAACAAGAAAAGTAGGAAGGTTTAGAGAAAAGGGGAAGAAGAAGAAGAAGACGACCATGAAAGTGAAAGTACAGAGTTTTTCATAGTCTTACATTCTGATTCCATACTAATCCAGACCTGGAAGGAGGATGGAAGCTTTTCCAGACAGCACAGGAACTCTGAACCTCACAATAACAAACTGGTTGTTGGGATGTTACAGAAAGTCACAGACCAACACCAGGCCGTCCATCACTTATGAAGCACATTTGGAAAATGTTACAGTTTCCAAACACTTTGAAAACAAATTCCTAAAAATCGGCAACTTGCAGAACCAATTTCTCATAACAATAATTCATCTATAAACGGCCATAATTAATCATAGTTTTGTTTTTTAAACCCTGCATGGTTCTCCATCTCCTTCCCCTCTGTTCTCCACAGCTCAGTGAGGGGTGTGAATAGTTCAGCCAGGCGCTGCCATGAGTCGCCACATTTACCTTCTCTGTCCACCAGCGACGAAGGAGGGGCAATGGCTGCTCCGCCCATACCTGGAAACCATGGAAACAACCTGTCACTTCCTGTTCCCACATCAAACACATTCAGGATGACTTCACTAATCATCGTCTAGGCTGCAGTGACACTTAGTGGCTCAATGTGAAAATCAGGCAGAAAACACTTCATAGGTGGGAAGTTTAATATCATCAAAAAATGTATTTAATAGATAAAATTTAATTTCAATTTAAACCAATTAGATAAATCCATACACAACATAATGTAGTTCAAGTGTTTATCTTGGTCATTGTGTTCATTAATCTGCCCTAAACTATGAAATGAACTTTGCTTCACAATTGTCTCAAGAATGCAGTTCTCCATGCTGCCATTTTATTCTCTACCGAATGTTTCCACTCAACTTTTCATAAAAAAAAAAAAAACACACACTATGACAATAAGCAAAAATAAATGCTTGAAACATAAAACTCTGTTTATATGTAGCTTGCATTATGAGTTCAGTCTGAAGGATCTGAGACACGGAATCAAGTGGAAAGGCTACTCTCTAACACTGACGTCCAGAAAATGCAACTCTCAGGAGGGGCTGCGGAGCACAGCTGGTTGCCATGGAGATGAACTAATTTCTCTAACATGCATGATGAGGGAATAACATTATAACATGATTTAAAGCTCAAAAAGGTTAATTTTACATAATACTGCCCCTTTAAGGGGAGCTTCTTGCTCCTTATTGGTCGATAAACTACATATCCCCGTGGCAACAAGTACTCACTTCGTTTCCTCCACTCTTTCTCGTACTCTTCATCCTCATCCGAGTCTTCTTCTGTTGCCGGGAAACGAGAGAAGCCGCTGGGAGCGCCGCCTTCGTGTCTCTCTTTCCTCCTCCTGAAACACACCAAGTTTCTGGATTTGGATTGCAGAGGTTCAGATTACATTTTAAAGTTTTAAAAAGTAAAAACGTCATTCACTTTTCCCTCTCTTCGATCTCCTTCTGTCGTTCCTGCTCCCTCTTGCGCTGCATCTCTTCCCGGTGGCGTTTCATCACCTTCTCGTAGTCGTTGGGGAACATGGGGTCGTACTCGTCGGCCAGCGGGATCAGAACGTCCCCGGAGGAGAATCCGCTGGGAACCGCATCCTGAAGGAACCACATCCAGTTTAAAAAAACAAAACGAACAAAAAAAACATTCTAGGGAATCTGCTGGAGCGCGAGGCGGACCTTGAGTCCAACGGCGGCGTGTGGAGGAGTGTCTGTGCTGAGCCGGTCGTCACTGGAACCTCCTCTCTTCAGATCGATAACAGGAGCCAGAACGGTGGTCTGCTTCATCCGCTGAGTCTGGAACACAAACATAACATTTGTCAAACATCTAATTCTTTTAGTGTTTTTGGCACTATTCAGACTTATGTGATTCTTCGACACATTTAACTGAAACCGAGCAGGACAGATTTTCACTCTGTCCTGCCCTCCACACTCCAGAGTTCCAGTTGTTAAATCCCTGAGGGAAGTTAAATACTGCTGATGGCTGTGGGCAGGAATGATCTCCTGCAGCAGTCTGTATTACAGCGGTTCTGTGTAGGCCTCTGACTGAAGACGCCTTGTTGTTGTGTAGCAGTCTCATGATGAAGGTTCTCAGAGTTGCCGGTTATTATTAGAGCAGCAGCTAACGATTACTTCAGTAATCGATTATTCTGACAATTAGTCCAACAAAAAATTTGAGACATTCTGCTGAATTTTTTTCTTAACCATTTAAGCCTTTTTACACAATATTAGAGACAAATTAAAAAATGCAAATGAGCAAATAATTTAATTACTTTTTAAAAAAGAAAATAAAAATTAGCTGACAAGTGTTTCTGTAATCCATAAGTCGCAATTAATTCAATTAATCGTTTCAGTTTTAGTTATTATTTTATTCAGTTTCTTTAGATGTAAACTTGTGAATTATGCTTCCAACTCGATCTCTGGTGGCATTCAGGGTATTTTTTATTTTTTTGTGAAAGTCAGCGATTTCTTTTCAGAACCTTTTGGACAATTCATTCGGCCACACTTCCAACATGGTTCAGGCCACACCTGGTTTTCAAATATGTGCTTTCATAACGGATCCTAATAGGTTGAGACTTCAGCAGCTATTAAAGTAAAAATTTAGTCTCTAGTCTGTATAAAATCCCAGGTTTAGTTCTCGGATTAGACAGATCTTGTGTTTGCTTGAGCAGCTGGGTCCATGTTGTAAAACATGCATTCTGGGAAATATATGCCCCTGTGCTAGTTGTTAACAAAACACCGGAGCTGTTGCACTAGTCCCTGCTCTGCACCATTCCTGACAGCAAGGTGAGCTACCTTAGCCTGGGTCAGGGCCGCTTTCTTCACTTTCAGCTGAGACTGGAGCAGCTTGAAGTTCTTGGACCAGCCTTCGGTCTTGGTGTCGCTTGCACCGACACCGAGATCATCGTACAGCGACATGCTGCCCCGGTCAGTGCTGCCGCTTCCTGCAAACACACAATCACACACACACAGGATTGGGCTTTCATTCAGACTCAGAGGCTTCGGTTTTTGTTAGAAACACCGGTAACACCAACTAATGAACCAAGCTAGCACGCAGGTAGCATAGCTAGCTCACATCAAAATCAACAGCAGTTTAAATTGCCTGATATGTTAGCAAAGCTAACTGAATGATTGTTACAGTTTGCTAACATTTAGCTAAAGCTAATATCACTGCTGATCTATATTCTCTTGGAGAAAATACGGGCAAAAATATATAATTATAAGAATTCGTTTTCAAAGTTCTTATAATACAACCATACGGATATCTAAATTAGACATAAAAGGCTTTAGCACATTTTCTTTACCTCCTCCCCTCGCTGTAGCTTGCGCGACGGAAGCAGCGGAAGAACAACAAGACAAAAAAGAAGTTACGTAACAATGTTTAGCGCCGCCTAGCTATGGGAGGATTTAGTAGATTTATGTTTATTTATTTATATATTTTTTTACTTTATTTGTCGACGTAAGATTATTATTATTATTATTATTATTATTATTATTATTATTATTATCGCAAAATGTTTCTGTTTCTTTTTAATTCTGCAATAAAGGTGGCTGACTTGACTCGAGAACACCAGCAGGTGGCATAACCTACCAAAAAGATAATCGTTCTAACTCTGGAGACTTCTCATGGGATGAGAAATGTGGCCTCACTTCTTGGACTTTGACCGTCATCAGCTATATATACTTTCACCCGACTTTGAAAGAAAGACAGTACAGTCTTTCTTTTTTCTCAACACAAGAAATGCAATAGTTGTAGTGCATGTCCAGGAGACACCATAGTGGCTTTTACCTAACAGACTGTTGTCATATCTTCTGCTTGTACATCTCTTTTAATTACACTTTTTCCGTCCACTCAACTTTCTTTTCTGTCAAAAGGAACTGTGACGTTCGTCCGTGTACACCAAAATATGACCATAAAAAAGAAAAAGAAAAGTAAAACTAACCGAAATAAAATGTCTGAAATGATCCTTACTGCATGTGCGTCTTGAATCTATGTTATACCCTAGTTTCAGTTTTGCAATTAAATCACTAAAATAAAATGAGTTTTTGATTATTCATTGAGTTACACCCTAAACTTGCAGGTATCGTTTGCCGGCAACAACAAAAACTACAAATATGGCGTCGATCGAATCAAGCCAGAAGTGCGCCGCGACTTTATTGACAATGCGTAACTGAAAGTCGGTGAGTGTGAAAGTGAAAGCGTGAGCGTGACAGCAGCGAGCCCCGCGGTGGTGGCAGCAGATCAGTCCCTGACGATGGTCTTACCGGCTGTGGGATTCCACGGGGATCATGTTGTAGAACCGCACCGCGCTGGCAGATGGATCCAGACCGATTCTCCACTTCTGTCTGCGTCCTGATGGTGTGTCTTCTCGGAACGACGCGTCTCTCCAGCGTCGGTAGGGACACAACGATCCCGTCTATATTTACACTGTCCTCTATTGAAGTAGTATTGTCTGTTAAAGTCAACTCTCATGCCTAGAGTTAAATCCAGGCTATTTCGAAATACATTTGTTTTTTTGTTTTTTTTGTTTTGCGTGGTTAAATATTGTTTTGTTGTTTACTTTCTCTATACGTGGTAGAGCAATGGTTTCAAGCGTCAGTGTAAAATTACAAAACAAATAGCACAGCTCAAGTTCTTTACGTGTAACAGTTAGTGTTTTTGAAAAGAAAAAACAACTAAATTAAGCTAATAAGAAATGTATTTGTTTATTAAACAAATTTGAATGTGTAATTTGACTAATTTTAAGGTTTTGCAGCAAACAAAATATTCTGATATAAATAGAATTTGATCCAAAAAGTTATATGAAATTATACTTTATAAAAAAAGACAGCATTTTTAAGTGGTTTTTCAGCACATCTATGAATCACTACATCTAGAAATGTATATTTATATTAAGAAAACATATTGCTCTATTAGTGTTCTGTTTATCTGTGGAATAAGCTACTTCCTCTTTGCAGTTTACTTGTGCTTAGGGCAATTTAACGTATGATCCATCCATTAAGGTTAATGGATGATAAATCTGCTTTAACATCGGTATTGACCGATATTAATAAACATCGTTTGTTTCAACCTTGAAACAAACACTATATTTTATGCAACAGTGTCAAAAGAGTACAGGGAAACATATATAACATACATAATATCAGCTATAAAAGCAATATCAAGGTCAGATATTGATATCGGTGCAAACTGTCATATTGGTGCACCCTAGTTCAGATTGTCTCAGATATTAGAAGTATTATACAATAAATAAGTTAATGTAAATCAGTTTGCCCAGCTGTAATTTCTCCAAATGTCCCGGTTGCACCTTGCCTGAAGTGGCACCAAGGCAGACAGGACATGGAAGGTGACCTTATTTCCACCCCATCTGGGCTCAGATTGACTGACGGTGCCTAGCAACACGTCAAAACTCTGAAAAACCTCAGCAGAACTGGAGACAATTCCTGACTGTACATGCAAAAAAATCCAACTGAGAGGGTAAAAAGTTTTGTTGTTTCAACTGGCGCTCATTGGCTCCCTAATGATGACTTGGGCGTTTCCCAATGTAACCAATATCTAAAGCTGCCACTGATAACCTTACGGTCATGGTTGTAAAGTTCTTCAGTTTTATGTTTCAGGATGTAATGTTTATTTTTTTCTTCTTTCTGTTAAGCTCTAAAGTTATATAATGTAAGCTTGTTTACAAAACACAATCCACAGCATTGTCAGCTGTCTTTTCCTAACGAAGTCAGTTGTGTAAAACAGTGATTGTAGAAGCACATGCGGCAACAGTAACTTCAAAGTAACTGTTTTCTGTCGATAAATCTCTGTTGTTCCAGAATTTTGGTCAACCTTTAAGTATAAAGTTCATTTCAGATTTTCATTTCTGATGAATAGCCTAATTTGAGCTGTCAGGCAGATAAGATAGCATCACGGTAAAATCTAAAATATGCTGGTGGTTAACTCAATCACTTGCCCTTATAATTCCTGTGGTAGCTGCTTGGTTTTCACCAAACATGGCTTTGTGAAGACCAGGCTTCTAATTGTTCTACTGCAAATTCAACATGTGGCTTGCTAATGTGCTAAGGGTTCTGAGGATTTTTGTATTTGTTTTGTTTTTGTTTTTTTATTTCTCTTAACATTGCTAAATCTGACAATAGGAAAAAAAAAATCTTAACTGTGTCTAATGTATTCCTTTAGCAAATAAGCTTAAATCCTCACCCATCCACACACCACACCTAGTAGTTGGTGTGAACATCTCAGCGTCTGGTCTCAGCTAGTTAATGAAGTCATCATGTTTCATTCAGACACAGCTCTGTAAATCTAAATCATTTCTCTTCGCATCCCTTCCAAAAATGTGATACGGTTATCAACCGTCTGGTCACGGACGTTAGCATTCAACATGCTAACTGTCACCTGTCCAGTTTGAGATGTAGTTTATTTTTTTGTTTTTTTATAGGATTTTTGTGTTCTGTGGTCTTCCATGCTACTTGTTGATTATTTTTTTCTAGCTGTGCTGTCTTGAACTCTAATTTTTAACAAACTAACTGAAGTTTGCTGGGTTTAAGGTGCAGCTCTTGTGTTATTTTGTCATTTCTTTCACTATTGGATGCCCACTCCTCACTCTTACAGCTCTTTCCAGATTGTTAAACTGCTACTACCTCTTCTCCAACATCATTGCTGATATCTTTTCTTCTTGATGTTCATGTAAGCTCCAGAGCCACAAACTATCAAAATGGCTCCCATAGAGGTATTCACACATCTTAATGATCTATGAATGAACAGCATTTAGGTAGATTTCAATAACTGTAGAACTGGCTTGAGACCTGAATGACTTTTACATTCTGATGTGCAAAACCGGAACTGAAAAGAGCACCGAGTTTCATTTTACTAGAGAAAGAGGATGTGAAAATCAAGTCATGGCATGACATTAGTCTGAATGTTATTTTCCATGTTTGTATTTCTCTTCCAGGCCACTGCGCTTGTCCAGAAATTCCCAGAAGAAATTTTACTTTGCAACCAGAAGCAGGAAACTGCTTCAATGTTAGCTACAGATATCGCTACACGTGCATTCCTGGTTACGTGAGGAAGGCCGGAACGTCGAATCTCATCAGGTGCAGCAATCTTTTGCAGTGGACCACTACCAGATTTCCACTGGAGTGTATACGTAAGAGCTTTTTCCTTCTCTTCCAACGTTTAACAATGAAACTATATCAAGTTACCAACATGAGACGTTGGGTTTTGGAGAGTTTCAGGAATAGAAACTCGACTAGGACATGTTTTATGGGTTGGTGGCCTTCTATCCAGGAATACTAAATCAGAGTATTGTTGTGAGATGGCACGTATACGATGAGAAACCATTTTTGAAGGGTGAAACTGGAGAAACTAGTTTGAACCCCAGGGAACGCAGCACATGCATGTCTACACATGGAACTGATGTGAAGAGATTCTGGCCTGCAGCTTTTTGGGTTGTTACTCCTGCTGACACATAAGAACTGAAGACTATATGAAAACAATGTTTAACATCCCTCAAAATGAAGTGAAACTACAGTCTAAGACAAGGATTTATAGGAAGCCCAATGGAATGGGTAGTAATTGGATCTAAATCATCCTGTGTGGGAAGCACACAGGATGATTTAAGTGCCTTTGTAGATAGAAAAAAAAAAAAAACTTGGAAGTGTCTGAGTTTGAAAAGTCTAAAAAATGAGAGAGAAAACTGAAATTTTGAAATTAATCTCACAAATTTCATAGAAAAATTGTGAACGTTTATGAGTTTCGAAAGCTGAAAATTTTTGAGTTTTGAAACTCAAACATGTTCATGTTTTTCCAAGAAAATTTCTGACAATATCAGAAAAAAAGAACACCTACGTTTTTCTGCAATATTTCTGAGATAAGTCTCAAAATTTCAGAGGTTTCAGTGGAAACATGCTCCTTTTTGTTCCATCTGCAACGCCGTTGTAGAAACCAAACCGACTGAGAAAAGAAGCAACAAGAAATTAAATCCAAATGATGCTAAGCGAAGTTTTGTAAGGTAAGCAAAAGCCAATATGGAACCAATAAAAACTTTAAGAAGTGAAATGAAAGGAACACAAAACCCTCACTCAGCCTGTAAACCATGACGGGACCAGCTGCTAGTCTGAGCTAGAAATAAACACATATTTCAACAACCAAGTATGAGACATTACATTTTGTCAAATGCCATCATCAAAATCATCAAGCAAATATACATCAGATACATTGAGAAATGTTCCAGTTATCATGGTTCAAAGGCAGCTCTAAGCAGGCGGGTTTTCACCCTACATTTAAAGGAACTCAGCGTCTTGACACTTCGCAGTTTTCTGGATAACTGTTCCAGATTAGTGGAGCATAAAAACTGAATGCTACTCCTTATCAGGAGTATCTTATTCTTCCCATGCATAATTATGCATAGGTAACTGCTTATTCTAAGCAGCTACGTCTTACCTGCCAAACTCAGCTCCTTATAAATACAAATGAGTCGCTCCCAAAAGATAAGAGCTTGTCCAAGAAATGGGTCAAGAGCAGTGAAGTTCTATTATTTTTAAACAGTTGATGCATTTTCTAGTTCATCCAAATGCTACTTTATGAACCTTTAAAATGTCGTCACATTTGCCTTCGGCAGTTACTTACACAGAATTATACAGGAGTTACACAGACAGTGGCGGTTGGAGGTGGTACGCCATAAATTATCGTCCTATGCAAAACATGCACCGAGTATGAAACGTAAAGAGTGACTGTAAAGAAACTTTACAGTCCAGTGTCAGGTCTAACAGCTATTCTCTGTAGGAACACTTGACATGTCTCTTTTCTGTATGTTTCACACAGGAACATTATAGGGAGCGCACCACTTTCTTTTTACCTACTTTTCCTGCTTAAGTAATAGCTGATTGCTTTGTGAATATGCAAACATGGTAATTCAGTTGAAATTATTTTTTATTTCTATAGCTCCAATTCACAACAAATCTTAATGTTGTGAATTGACTTTTTACAAAAGAAGTCATTGCAATTAGTTACTGCTTTATTTCAAGCCACTTAAAAGAAAATAATGCATATTATAGAACATAGTAAGAAAAAAAGGAACAGTATATATATACATACCCACTTATTGTCTTGTTTTAAGGACAAGACATTTAATTCACGTTTTATGTAATAATACTATATTTAGACATAAACAAGAATGTATTTAGCTGAAAGACGTCAAGCATACATTCCAATTGATCTTTGTTAACAAACAGTGTATTAACTTTAGTTCATTATGCAAATTAGTTTAAAAAGTGTTCTATTTAAAGAAACAGAGCAGATGGCATCAAGTTGTTGATTTACTGTTTTAAAGATTCATTAAAAAACTGGGAGCATAAACCACTGTGACGTTTCTGGGATTGGACCCCGTTAGCCGGCCTTTGTCTAGGACCCTCTTAGACTAGCTGTTTGCTTCACATGATCGAAATTCATGCTGAATGAAAACGTTAAACGACTTATCGACTACAGGTAGGATGCTAACTGCTAATAAATGTTTAACTGAATTCCTCTTCAAACCTCCTGAACTCTTCCTTTTGACCTTGAAATCAATGAACTCGCTTTTCTTGTTCCAGCTCATCCAGACTCAACTCCTCCACTGCCACCACACATTCCAGGTATTAAACTTTTTTTTTCTGATATTAAACATCAGAAAAAAAATTGCAGCTTTATTTTATTTTAGTTAAAATTTAAAGACTTATTAAAATATATTTTAAATATAAGTGCATTGCAACAAGTGTTACGGATTCCCTTAAGCAGACTATTTCTGTTTGCTAAATCATTGTAAATGTAGATGCATTAAGCTACCAAGGCAGTTTAATATATTGATATTGATGTATTGCTCTCTCACACTTTTAGTCTTTCATGTCATCTGTCATTGAAGAATGTTCATCATTCTTTTGCCTGCACCAGCTTGAATTACACAGTACGTTAATACCAAAGGGTAAAAGGTGTGTTGCAACAGGATCGAAAAGATTGAAGAAGCTTAGCGTTGGTTTTCCAAGTTTGATATTATTAGAAAATAGAAAGTTTCTCGAAAGAGAACTGAATACACCCAGGAAAAGGTATACTCAGAGTTATTTCAGAGCTGTTAAACCCTCTGTTCCTCTTATTGCAGTTTCTTAGGCTGGATCTGCGGTTCTTACACAAGACGTGGTTGAACAACAATTTGCTGAAATTCCTGTTTTTCTCAAAGTCTTTTAAAGAATCTGAATTGGAAAAGTGTGTTGTAGAATTTGAAAAAGATCTATGTTGAGATGACCAAAACATCAGTGGAAGAGTTCTTCAGCACACTGCTGAATCAGAAGCCAACTTGACCTTGTGTTGTTTCATGAGATGAGGAACATAGAAAAAGAAATTAAACGAAACAAGGTTTTGTGTTTTGTACTCAGATGTTCAGAATGCTGATGGAAAAATCTGGACATTTTAGTCTGGAAGTATGGAGCTTTGAATCGTTGATTCAGAAGACTTAAAGCATTTGAACCAAGCTAAAGAAGCTCTGAAGTTGGGAAGTTGCATTTAAACTTTTATCTAAAATATGAATAGGTTGTGTTTTTCATGTTTTGTTTAGGTTTGCAAATTCATCTGTTAGATTCCTGTTAGATTAGTTTTAATAAAACATGACATTAGTCAACAGTTGATAAGTTACTCAAGTCAAAACACTGTATAATAATAATATGAAAACCGTGTTAAATTTGGACGTTTTGTAGGAATAGTTGCGTATCATCTGCATACAGTGAAACTTAGTGATTGGGTTTTATCTGGCTTTTTCTTCTCCTTGATTTTTTTTTCATTATTTTTATGCCCTACTGTATTAACTGATAAGCTCTGCAGTTGATGGATGAACTATTAATTCATTCTGTTTCAGATGGTTCAAGTATCACAACTGCGCCACCAAACTGGCCAGGTAGGATCAATGTGTACATTTGAAAGAACATGAATATTATTTTTGGTTTTTGCTGCGAATCCAAGGAGGATTGCTTTACAAATACATTTTGTTTATATATCAACATCTAAACCTGTATCCCTGTAGTTTATACTTGATCAATTACTATTTCATAACTTTAAACATAAAGTAGATTTTTTAAGTAGTTATGTAAACCAATCTTTTTACAGACAGTGTAGGATTAAGATTAGTCAGGCTTTACTTCTCCAGTTCTCAAGTTTATATTTGCCTACATTTCATGCTTGAAATTAACATATGAAAGAAGTTTTAGACTGTAACAGTATTTGTAGGTATGGCATTAGTTACAACAACATTTAATTTCCCTTTGGTAAAAAGTATTTTTGGATTGAATTTAATTGAATTAAGCCAAAAGTTTAATATTTTTTCAATTGTGGTGAGTGTTGTAACTTTTTGCTGCTGCTTGTTTTGATAAAGCAGCAGAAACAAGACACAGCCCTGCTAAAGAAAATGAAACATGTTAGGTTATGTTTTCGTACCAGCACGTGTTCTGCAGTGGTACTTTTATCTATATGTGGTTCGAGTTTGTCCATAAACACATATTTGTTATTTCACCCGAAGGGCAGTACTACATGTTTTTAGGTGACAGGCTGAAACATGTTAGGATGTGGGCTAGAGTAAATAAAGTTTGTAAATGTTGTAATTTCAGCTTGAAACTCTAACCTTAAAAGTTTGTTTTCTTTCTCTGTACCTTTGATGTGCTTTCCTGAACTCCTCTTGATTAAATTGAAATGAAACAGATTTTTGACTGAATTGGGTTCAGTTAGTTTGATGAAACCTTTTTAATGTGGTGAAGTCTGGTTCCATTTGAGCAGTGCTTATTAGCTTGAATTGCTGTGACTTTGATGTAGTTTAGCATCTTCTAAAACTGAGGAAGTGGAAAACATAACTATGAATTTCCATTAACTGTGTACAAACTTGCGCGTAATTGGGTCAATTAAATCTACATTTACTCCAATAAATATAACCAGTGTTCAGTCCCAGCAAAAAAAATCCCTTTACAGATTTTTTTTCTAGTTTTTTGTTTTTTTCTGTTTGTTAGACTTAAATATAAGTCTAACAAATGTAAAATAAAGAAGAGATGAGTAAATGTGTAAATTCAAAATTCAATTTCAACTGACTTTTTCATTTGTTATGGGGAAGAAAATGCTACCCCCACCAACCTGGCCCTATGTGGAAACATAACTACTCCCCTTGTCAAGTCATGACTTTAGGGTAAGAGAACCGATTTTTCGTGTTTTTGATTCATTTTCCTCCAGGCATCGATACTGACAAACCTGTAGCATCAAAAATATCACAGAACGAGAGCCAGTCTGATGAGACAGCCTTAAAATTGTCATAGTCGACTGGACTTTGTTTTTTCTTTTTTAAATTTTGCTTCCAACTCATTTTATTTTACTCCTGTGTTTTGGGTTATTAGTGTTACTTTTACCCCAATTTTTTAGTCTTCAATAGCTGTTTTCTATTCGCTCATTCATTCACCCATGTCATCCTATAATCATCATCCCCAGTATAAATACACCTCAGTTCAGTTACTCCTCGTCAGATCCTCTGTTATCTTTCATTAGTGATTTCCTGATCCAGTCTGCTCATTTTACTGTGTTTTTCCACTTTGCTTCTCCCGTATCGTCTCTGAATCTGAGTCCCCAACCACAGGTCTTGACAGGGCTGCTGTCAAGACATGACAGCAGTCCTGATCTGAAAGTTCCAAAACATATGAGAAGCAAAGCCACCAACATCTATCAGTCTGGGAGCATTTGAAGAGAAAATCTGTGGTGTGATCTGAAGCATCCCGTTCATGCTAGAAACCCCCAAATGGGACTGAGAAGGGGGAATACTCAGCCACACTGCGCCGACTCATCAAATTATTAGAAATTACACAACTGGTTGTAATAAGTTAATGAATGAGTAAAACCATCATCTGAACATGCTCCGGGTCTCATTGTGATTTGTTTTTGCAAAAAATGTTACTGTTGATGTTAAAAGAAGCAAACAGAAACACTTAAATGACAGCAGAAAGAGAGTTGGTATTGCTAAAAAAATATATAATAGATGGTTGCTTTTTTTTCTATTTTGCAGGAACTTCCACCAGCCATCCGACTGGAAGAACCACTACTGAAACTACAAGCTCAGCTAATATGGAGCAAAGTACATCAGGTAAGAAGCAGGGAATCCTATCATCGACAGCTGCTTTTGTCCAATCAATCAATCAATCAATCAATCAATCAATCAATCAATCTTTGTGGAGCACCCAAAGTGACCAAAGAGCTGTACAGGTACATAAGCATCTTTAAGTGACCAAAAAAAGCGCTATAAAAATATTATGTATTATTTTTATTATTATAAATAAAAACATGAACTATAAGACACAAACACCTACTATAAAACAGTCAGCCAATTAGGGGGCACCGATTGCAGTTTGCTGGTCGATCCCCGATCTTTATAAAACCTGATCTGACGTTTCTTGACCAATACGGGCTGTAGCAGCTCCTCAGCACTTGAATTAATTTGCGCGGTCTCGACGGGTGATTTTCAAGGTTTGTTTATTTTTTCTTTGATGTGGACCATCAGTCATCTCAATCATCTTGATTACCTCTGTCACCGTATTCACTGAGAAAACTAAACAGATATATAAATATTAGAATATAAACAGAAACTTACAACACAAACAACAAAATAAAACGTAGCTCCCTGCTTTCACCGGGGAACACTAAGTGTTGATAGTGCCAAGCACATCTTTGACAGTTTGCTGAAGTCATTCATTGGTACAATGATTTGCCAGCTTTTATAGGGCCTGCCCTCATTTAGCTACGGCAGCCCATGAGGTACATAACAAAAAAAAAAAGACTTTACAAAGTGCAAATACAATTAAACAAAACAAAATACAAACCACCAACAGTGCTAATCAAACAGACAAATATTAAACAATCTGGAACATCCTTAATTTAGAAAATTCACTTCAAATAATTTACAATAAATAGTCTACAAATTTGAATAATTTAGGCAACTTAATTTAAATGGTTCACTATCCATTACATGGGCCAACACCTGTATTGTGGCCCTAAAACACTGTCGATGTTTCATTCCAAACTCTATTAGATAATGAGGCGTCTGACTGTTTAAATATAAAAAACTGACAAAATTAAAGTCTTGTCATCTCAGTATGAGTGTATTCTCAGTAGTTATCCTGTTCTGTACATTTAGGTAGGTATTAGTTCTTAACTTCTGGTTAGTTAGGTTGTCGTGCCACAATCGCATATCTACAGTAATTAAGATGTTTGGTTTCCATTTTTAGAGTAATTTTGGTAGTCCTTCACACCTGAGAAGGTCTGGATTACTAGAGTCCCAAACCCTAAGAAATGGCTTTACATGATCTCATACAACTTACATTTGAAGTTTATTAAAAATATGAATTCTGAGTCCTGACAAAGATGTGTAGTGTTCGTTATTCTGCAATAGCCAGCCACGCCCTAACCTCACCACCGACTGACTACTGACTAGCTCTCTGTCT